GGGAAGGAGATAACTCTGTTGGGGAGAAAGAGGAGAAAGTCAGGAAAATGAATTTCATGAAGAAACGTCCATTCGCTCAGTCGCTCACGTCTTGAAAATCGCGAGTGGTTCTTTAACGGCAACTGTCAAGAAAAACCTATGAGAATGTATCCTCCTCAGAATTACATGTACTAGGACACCGACTCAATTTGAGAGGCAAAGGACTTTTCCTCAAGCAAATCCAAGCTGTGAAGTAACAGTTATTTTCCTAAAGAAGACCACGGTACCCGCCACGGATTCATTTCAAATTGCTACCTCGGAATGAGGCGAACGTTTTTGGCAGTTACAGGAACCCAGCTTCGTGTATAACTGAACAGGAGCCATTTGGAACTAAGTACAGCCCCAGTTGGCATGCAACAAGTTAGAAACGATAGCTTTAATAATCACCTTCGTATGCGTAAAGGTAAAAAGGGTAAGGCCTACACGTGAGCCATGTGGCTCGTCGGGCCGGCACTTAACTCCGGTCTCCGTAGAATGAAGTGACTAGGAATATTTCTACTCCCCCCTGGATTGGATGCTAGTCCATCGCAGGGTTACCCCCGGCATTAAATTCACCGGTACTCATTTATACACCTGGGTGAAGAGAGGCACTGTGAGAGTAAAGCGTCTTGCCTGAAAACACAACACAGTGTCCCGGCCGAGGCTCGAACCCCGACTGCTCGATCCGCAGTCGAGCACACAACCATGAGGCCACCGCGCCTCCCACACTTCGTATGCGTAAACACTGAAAAAATTGATTCGAAACACTTAGTTGCCAAAATTAACGCAGACAAAAGGCAGAAGTTAATTGTTGCGAATTAAATTTTGTTTGTTTCAGCATTTACTTATCATTTGCAAAGGTGTTATTGTCTTTATCACTTACAATTAGCTTCAAAGCAGTAATTTTCATTCTAAAATGTTTGAAATGTTGCGACTTGTGAGTAGTGGAGCTTTGTTATTTTCGACACGCGCCTGAAAGTGTTCTCTGTTTTACAGTGTTTACATTAGAAATTACCTCAATAGAACTGAAGCTAAAATGAAACTTTTGATTTCTCTTGAAAGCATAAGCACTGCATAATTACGTCAAGTAGTTGGTTGGAAGACATAATTATTTTCATATTATTTTAGTCGTGTCCAATCGATATTATTTAGTGAAATATGGGCGCCTGCATGACGAACGAGAATTTGTATTTGCCGCAAACGTGTTGCCTTGATTATTTGCTAGTAAGGTATTAATATCATTTAGGTTTTTTTTTTTACGCAGGAGAATGTGAATGGTGGGGTAAAAATATTTACTTGGTGGACTCATAACAGACTTAGGAAAGACGGGATATATTTCTACACTGCTTGGAAAGCGCATGATGTTGAAAATTGGCTTTGGTCAAGGCTGGCGACTGAGAATTTACCACACACGGTATACCACCATTAGAGCTTCAATTTATTGGCTTACAATAAAATGGTTTGAAAAAATACAGAGAATAAATAACTGAAATTTGTGTTCAATATGGAAAATGTAAGCATAGCTTTCAGTTCGAAGCGAAGGTCAACAAGGAAAACTTACATGCCTGTTTATCTCGCTGGAAGTCTTCGTTTTGGCAGTTCTGAGTTTTTGCAGGGCTCGGCTAGCCGTCGTCCCGGGTTATTTTTGCCGGCTAACTTGTCTTCAATATTTCACTTTCCGGCAGCTTTTGGAGGCTTACACCTTTTCCTTTTGAATTTCAGTATGTATTTTGACATTCAACTACACGACAGTTCACCTCAGTTCAACTATTAGGAGTTTTAGAAATTGTTTTCACAAAAGGTCAAACAACTCACCAGGACGAAAGCGCCAAGCAAAGTTTGACTATTCCTACGTCACAAAAACGTAATATCCAAGATGGTGTTTTTCTAACCACGAAAGTTGTGAAAATGGCCAACTTCGAAGCACTATTGTCGCCAGTGCAAAGCAAACTAGACAAAATGGCAGTTATTTTCGAACTCCTGAGGAAAAAGTCTTCTACTGAGATAAACTTTTTCTAGACCGTACTTTCCCTTTAACTGCTTCTTTGGATACAGAATTCCTACTAGAGTCCGTGTCCAAATATCGTGACGTCTTGAACCTTCAGTGGAATGATGGCAGGTGATAAGCTGTCAGTGGGTGAGGCGTCATCGTCATCACAAATCCTTTAGACGAGTCAGCCTCTCCCAGGGTATGTAAAGCGTCGAAACTTTTGTTTAACTTTTCATAATATTCTCTTGCTTTCCTGTAGCTGTTGCCTTTTATTGGTGTCAAACTTATAATTTCGTCCATATGGTCATTCAAAACAATCTTATTTTGTCCGTATTCTCTTTGCAATCTTTCCCACGCCGTCCTGTACCCAAGGGTCACGAGTTTAAGGTTGGAGATTTGTTCTCTTACCTTTGGAAAGAACATCTCTAACAAATAGCCAACTGTCTCTTTGTCTGAAATCGGTCGACTGTGAACTTGCATGACGAACGTATTTTCAAATCGAACCCAGCCTGATAGATTTTCCTTAGAAGGCGCGATCTTTAACTTGGGGAGTTTTGCCTGCGCACCGTTTGCTGCCGCCTCCATTTCCAACTTTTGTTCTACCACGCGGAACTCGGCTTGGGACTTCTCCTCCCAGAATTCCTCTTGTTATTGTCTTTCTCGTGTCACGCGCTCCCATTGAGCCTCCAAATGTTTCCTCTCGATTTCATCCTCGTTTTGTCTTTGTTTCGCCGACAGCACTTCCAAAATTCTGTCCCTTTCCTGCATAAAAGGAGCAAAGACGTTCTTTTTGTCCTTCTTCCATTGCCGAATGTCTCGAGGCGAAACTCCAGAGTCCAATTTAATGCCTTCCAACCGTGGAATAAGNCATTCATCTGATACTTGTTTTCCATTTTCCATGATCGCTGGATTATTTTCTCACCCCTCCGGCCACGTGGTCAATCCAAATCTCCGAAATCCGTATGTCCTTGTCTCCGCAATACTCTTGATCCTGGTCACGGCACCACAAATGTACCGAACTTGTGGGGCGCACTACACTCTCAATCGTCATATCATTTTATTGTTTTTCATCGACATTCGCCATGTCGAAACTTCCAACACTCTCTCCAGAACACCTATACTGACTCCAATCATCACGTCTCCTATTTCAATTTTTACCTAAACGCGAATGCGTGTCATGTCACGCAACTTCCGTTTAGCACTAGCAGGTGTTATAAAAAAAGTTTGCTAAGCTTTTTCATTAGTGCACATTTCTTCTCCTAAGAATCATGTTCATCTGGCGAATGCTGAATTCTTGTTTTTCAACCAAATTTGATATTCATTTGAAAATTCTTATATTTCCTAGTGTCAGTTATCAACAGGTCTTTTTGAAACTTGTTTTCCTTTTTAGATGTGGGTACACAAAGCGTAGAAACAACTATTAGAATGGGGCAGAATAAGCAAATGTGTCACTCACTCAGATGTTAACAAATCGATATGTCGACGGCAGACCAATTGATATCGATTTTCCCAAACAAAGCGGGAACGCCTAATTTGACTTTTCTTCGAGAGTTTCGACTAATACTCGTCGCGGCAGCAAGTAAACGCGTGCACGTGTAGTCAAAACTGGTTTTGACTGAAGGTGCGATTATGAACATTGAATGTGAACAGTCTTTCACCTCTCGAGACGTTTAATCGTTGATCCTCCAAGCTGACAGGGGGGTTTATAAATAGTGAGCCTTTTACGAATAAATTTTACGAGCGAAATTTTGAGCGAACCTTTAAGCAAACCAAGGAGTACTCATATCAGCAAAACTATGAGTCAAACGTAAGCTCGGACAAAACTACTGGAAACATCAGTAGGAAAACTGATCAGTTCATAATGTCCAATGAAATCACTCTTGAGGCCAAGCAGAACGAAACGCAGTTAGAATGGATGGTAACAGAGGTCATGGAAAATTACATAAACGAAGAAGTACGTTGAAGTCCACTCGTATTAGCAAAGGCGCCCACAGGGATAGAGAACCATCGAGATTACCGAGGAAGAAAATTCTGTACTAATTTAACAAGAAGAAAGCAATTAAGAGGTCTGTAAGGTCTCATATCGTGAATAGTGTGCCACATTCATCAGCGTTAAAAAAGATTTCATCGTTTGATTACGGTAATTATCTTAAAGCCAGAATGTGTAGAAGAAAACCAGTTGGAATTCAGTTGGTTCAAGATTTTGTTTTACAATTGCTTATGTTTATGTTTTCAAAACAAGAACTGCGAAGCACAAAAAGACATCTCAAGTGTCAATTGTCTTTCAGGATGAATTTGTACATGTTGTTCAATAAAGTGTAAGAAACGAAATGACAGGTATTGAGTTTTAAGGGCAAAATTATTTACTTTAAGTGATATTGAATTAAACCCTAGACCTGCTGTTACTAAGGGAAATAATCCAAACAATCTTATAGGAATAGTTACATTCTCGATTAGCACAACATAGCTTGAAAATATTAGATGTTGGTGGTGCAGATGATTCTTTCTTTAGGGTGGTGTCCCATCCGTTGTATGGTGAACCTAGCTATTACATGAATATTCGTAGCATTGGTGTTCAATAAATGAGAAACAATCCAGAAAGATTCATTGCAAGTAATACAGACCATTCATGGTTAAGGTATTTAAGCAGGGTACATGAGCACATGCAATTATTATACAAGCAGTTGCTGATGCATTAAACTTGACAATTATAGAAGTTAACATTATAGAAGCTAATCCAGGATGTGTATCGATTACTAATATCAGTCCAGTTAGCTCAAAACCTGATACTACTGTCGTAAATATTGGACATTTTGATGAAAAACACTATATTTCAACTTTTCCTTTCAATGAAGAGGCAATGGCAAACAATGTAATCTGTAACAATCCACCAGCACAGTTAACGATGGATCACTGTAGAACGACAAATAATAATGAAACAATAGCTGTAATCAAAGAACAGAAAAGGAAAGCTTATTTGAAGGAATACAAGGCAACAAGGAGAAAAAAAATAAAGAGTTCAGAAAGAAGTAAACAGAGCTCTGCAAGCAAACAGATCAGAAAATATTGAAAAAACAAGAGAATCTCAAAGGTAGGCATTTAATAAACGAAAATAATCAAATTCTGATCATATCAGAGAACTAAATAGGCAGGCATTTACTAAAAGAAAAAGAGTAATCCTCAGCATGTACGAGAAGTGAACAAAAATGCACAGAATAGAAAGAGATCCTTATGTTTGGGTTGAACCCAAGTGACCATGACCTACTTCAGCCAGCTACAAAAAGACCAAGTTGTCCAGCAATTAATGA